GGAGAAAGGTGAAGCTGTCTGCTCACATGAAGGTTTCCCATCCCAGAAACACTATAGTGGCTAGCTATTGATTGGAATTGGCTCAATAGCAGTTTTGTTTTGTTTTGTTTTAACCGTCTTGAAAGGCACAGGTACTTACTTACTTTTTCCAAAATGTTTATCTATGTATTGCACAAAAATATAGAGATGTCTATATATTTCACACACAACACCACACCTGCCCCCGTCATGGCTAAGTGAGTATCCGAGGTGTTAGAGAAGTCTGTGGTGGGTCAGCCTGGGCCAGCCAGGCAGTCATGAAGGTGAAGGCTGTGTGGGCTCGAGACTTTTCTCTCCACTTCACAAACCCACCCAGCCAGTCTGACTCCCAGTATAGAACAGAATCCCCTGTCCAGAGCCCAGTGTCCCGCAGGGCCTCCAAGACTGTAAAACCTGATAGGAGCTGACTGCCTCATCTTTCTCCAAGGAGCACCTGGTGAGCTTGAACCGCTGACCCGGCAGTTCGCAGCTCAACGCTTGTTTTTTTTCTTCTAATAGTTTTATTTGCATATAATTCACATATCATGCAATGTATTAATTCAGTCATATTAAAAAGAGTCGTGCGGACATCACCACAGTCAATTTCAGATTTAAGTTATGATACCATTCCTTCCTCCAGATTTAGATTTTTAACATTTACAATAATGGATCACACAGGCATGTGTGCTTCTTCCATGTGGACTTTGTTGACACCTAACTTAGATGGCTGCTTGTTTTAAGACAAGCCCTTAAGACCCCTGAGCCATGGTAGCGTCGTGGTTACACATTTGCCTGTGATCCAAAAGGTTAGCAGTTCAAAACCCTAATTGCTCAAGAGAAAGATGGTGCTTTCTACTCCTGTTAGCAGTTAGTCTCAGAAACTCACGGGACAGTTCTGCCTTACCCTGTTGGCTCTTTATGTGTTGGCATCGACTCCTTCTGAGTGAGTTTGCTTTTTTATGACCTCTGATGTTACTCTTTCTGATAGCTGGGCATCAATAGCTCAATTCAACCCACTGGGCTACCAGGACTCCCCTATCTCAGCACCTGATTGAGCAGGGGGAGGAGGTTGGGGGGGCACTGAAAAAGCCAGGGTGTGGCCTTGGATGAGCTGACCTGGTGTTGCAACCTGAACTCTTCTCTTACCATCACGAGACCTTAGGCAAGACCCTTAACTTCTGAGTGTCCTCCCTTGCATGGGGAGTGCAAACACTGTCCCACAGGACTGCTCTGAAGATCTAATGGCAGATCTTTTGTTAAAAGGCTAGCATAGGGTGTAGATGCTCAGAAGTGTCTCCCACCTGTACTGGTTCTGATGGCTTCATTCCACTTCTGATCTATCCCCGCCTTTCACTGGTCACCCTTTTATCTGCAACCCCATTAAATCTTTCAGGCAAAGCAGGTGAAGGGCTCCTTGGAGGGAGAGAGGGAGGGACAGAGGTGGGCGGCGGGGTCATTGAAGGGGAGGAAGGGGCTAACTCGAGTTGGGGGAGGAGATTGGTCATTGATGGGAGGAGAGCTGAGAGCTCTGCTATGTGACCATCCATGAAGACAGGTTCAAAGAACAAGGCTGGTCTTTAGGACTCTGAAGGGACAAGAGGGGTCAAGGACTCGGAAAGCCCACCTCTGAGAACAACTCATTTTCCAGGTGAGGAAAATGAAGGTTAGGCAAGGGGAAATGACTCACTTAGGACCCCACAGTCATTAAAGAATTCACATCATTTCCACCGCCCCAGCACCCACCCCACCCACCCCCCTCCCATGCCTGGAGAGCTCCATCTGCAGCCACGCTGTTGGTCGAATCCCAGAAGCCCTGGGAAATGCTGCTGCTCAGCTGAATGGAAAGCCCCAAAGGCAGGCTGTCTCACATTTTAAGGTACAAAAGAGAACCCAGCCTCAAGTGGAATTTAAGGAGAACATTCATTAAGCCTTAAGAGAGACAAAGACAAGAAGTCAGACACATCATCCGGATGAGGGAGGCCATTAGCATGAGGTCAAAATGGCATCTTAGGAATCAAGCCAGGACGCCAGAAGACAGGCAGGGAACAAAGGAAACGGTCATAAATTCATGATTGGCGACAGATGAATCCAGCACTGTTACAGGTGGGACTAGACGCAGGAATGGGACCATAATTAGCACAAGGAAATTATTAGAAGTGTTGACAAAATTGGCCCAGGGCTTTCTGACCAAGATAGGGTGAGACTGAATTACTCGTGGGCTGTCCCCAGTGTGGTGACTTCCATCAAGGACACTTCCAGGCAAGCCCCTAAGAGAGGCTGCCCCTCCCTAGGCTGGCCTGAGAGAGGTGGAGGTAGCCAGCTTTCTAATGCATTCTGCCTGAGGGCAAGATTATCTACACCATTGCTTAGTGATCGATCAGAAAGAGTTCAGTGGAGGTTTAATATATGTGAGGATCCTGCGAATGGATTTTGAGTCACTGTGACCCATACATAGCACTTTGCATACCGGGCTGCTCAGAATTTAAGCTCTAAGACAGAAGAAACGTCTCAAATTGTAGTGGGTACTGTTCGGGACAAAACTCGAAGTGAGCCAAATGTAGGATCAAGTCAGAGGCCCACAATGTCCAAAAGCCACAGGAGGTCCTCTTGCTTCTGCCAAAGTTTAGTAGATGCTAAGTGCTAGCTGGAGCCCTGGTGGCATGTAGTTCGTGTGCCACCAGCTGTCCTTACTGGTCCATGACTATTAACTCAACCACTTTTTCAAACAATGACCTCTTTCTGCCCCAAGACCCAATCCAGAGGACCACCATCTGTTGAGCTACCCTGTCCCAGTCCCCTCTGCTGACTTCCCAGGACCCTTTCCATCCTAAGTCGCAGAGGCCAGCTATCCTGCAGACCGTCTCGGTTTGTCTTGCTTTTTGCACAGTCATACTGGGCTCTGACTGTCGGCAAGCCTGTCACCTGCATCAGAGCAGGACTCCCATGTTAGCCACATGTGGCCTTTTATCACATGGTTCAGGTGACGGGTACCATTCCTGCACTGCGAAGTCAGTGTTTTCTCTTCTCTGGAAGTGAGGGGCCAAAAGTTGAGTCCACTCTCCCAGCTGGGGGATGGAGAAGCACTACCTCCTCCTGGGGAGCTGAGAACGGCATAGCTTTAGCCCTGAGGTTAGCTTTGGTCTCTCTTCCTCCTCCATTTATTTCTGCCATCTTTCATTAACTGATGGTTGTGAATTTTAGGTTCCTGATACAATTTTATAGTAATTCCTTGTGATACTTCTAAATAATATGTTCAGGTTTTTTTTCATGACCTCCCCATCCCATTTTATATTAGATTGAACTATATGAAATTGACAACCATCAATTTTTGATCTACGAAAATGGCAGTTTTACAACAATAGCTTATTGTGGATTATTGTGACTTCCGACTTCATGTTCAGCTGGTTTTTATGTAACAGTGGAGTTGGCTCATTTTGTTTTGTTGACTGTGACTCCGGACCTGTCTGTCTCCTCTGACCTGGCTCAAAGTCCTTGCCTGCTCGACTCCCAGGTCAGATACTGAATGGGCCGCTTCTCCCCAAGTCAGAGTGAGAAAGGCCATGCTGGGCCTGAGGTTCCTATCTGCCATGATGAGTGCCCCATCATAGGGACCAGCCTAGAGCTGCCAGTCCAGGCAGCTGAGGGGCAAGGCCTCCCTGGGTTCCGGCTATCCCCAGTACCTGCACCAGTTGGCAGACCTGGCCTGGGTGTGTCATCATTGAGTGACTTCCATCCAGGCTCCTGTGGTAATAATGGCATCAGGTACTTGTCCTGTGGTTGGGGACAGGACACCTCCTGACTTCCTTCCTGCCCACCCACTGTGTATTCAGTGGCTCGCATTAACAGGAAGTGAGTGAAAAGTGCAGGGACTGGGAGGCTGGTGGCCTCCATCTCAAACTCAGCCGACTCCAAAACCCTAGCCAAGCACCCTCTCCTGCTCTGACCGTCAGCCTCCCTGCCGGTACCTTGAGGATGGTGATGTTCAGAGTGCTCTCGACACTCCCTGTGAACTGGTGGTTATCTGCCGTGGTAAGCCCTCCTCTTCCTTCTGACCCTGCTCCTAGCACTGCAAGTCTCAGGCAGCAAGGGATGAAACAGCTACAAGGTGTGTGGGGGATGGCCTTGGCCAATCCCTGCTTATTTGGGGGGATGAGAAAGGCAGGCGGAGCTGGGCATGGAGATCTGTGGGGAGCTAAGCCACTCAGGGAAGCTGAGGTCCCCACTCCATCCTGTGAGGCGACCTAGTCTTTAGGCCATCACACTGACTAAGGGAAAGCCGCAGTCTGGATGGGAGAAGGCAATCTGGCCAAGATCTCACCGGGGAGAGAAAGGCCTGAGGGACAAGGCGGCTTTGACTAGATGAGAGGGGAGAAGACATCCCAGGCATCAACACACCAGAGATCAGCAGGGGAAGGAGGCTGAGAGAAGCCTTGGAAAACCCCTGGAGGATTTTAAGCTGGAAAATAGTGGGACCAGTTTTGTGGTTTTCAAAGCTCCCTCTGGACATACGGAGAGTGGCCTGGAAAGGGAGTGTTTTGAAAGTAGGGATCCTCAGGCCTTGCTGTTGTCCAGTGTTGGCCATGGTGGAGGTGAGAAACTGAGAGGACTTGGCAGTGTTCTGGACGAGGTGGACATGTGTCGGGGTGCAGTGTCAAGAATCTCTGTGGCTTGGGCTGTCCACTGAGAGAAGAGGCTGACTGGGAGGTTGAAGGGTGGAGGGACATCTGGATGCAGGCACACGTGTCTGGTGTTCAGAGGCTAAAGTGTGAGGGAGAGAGATCCTGGGAGGGGGCATATGCAGGCAGCTTCAGAGGGGCTGGTGAGCCCGTGGGGTTCTCTAGAGGTTTCAGGGATTGGGGAATTCCTTGAAGATGGTGGGCAGGGGTGTGCCTGTCCCCACACCTGCCCAGTCCCCCAGGGATCCTGGGTTTAGAGGGAAGTACTATATCAGCTTCTCATGTACTTTCCTCTCCCCCTCCCAGATCCTGCTCATCTCTGACTACTTCTACGCCTTCCTGCGTCGGGAGTACTACCTCACACATGGTCTCTACTTGACTGCCAAGGACGGCACGGAAGCCATGCTTGTGCTCAAGTAGACCTGGCTGGGCACAAGGCTGCACAGACTTCCAGGGATTGGCAAGGCCAGGAGCTGGGCCATACCTTCTAGCCAGGGCTGCCAGCAGGCTGAAGTCCCAGGTTACAAATTCCCAGCACCAGAAGAGGGACTGTGGCTAGCAGCATGGCCTGTGGAGAAGAGCCAGGAGCACCCCCCACTTGGACCCCGCTTTGTGGTTCTCTACAGCAAGGCAGGAAGGGGGGAGCAACGAGGGGAAGGGCTTGTTGGGTTGTGACTACTTAATAAATGTTTTGTTATGAAGTTTACCTGCGGCCACAGCTCATGCCTGGAGAGGGGGGTGGCCTGGCTGTTCATACTGCCACCGCACCAAAAGGCTGCCCTTACGAGCCCACCCTCTCTATCTCTGTGGAAGAAAGACTTGGCACAATGTTTCCATAAAGATGATAGCCAAGAAAATCCTATGGGGCAGTTTTACTGTGTCACGTGGCGTCACAAGGAGTCAGAATTGACTCCACAGCACCCACCAGCACCCAGAGGCCTGGGTTTCCGGAAGGAGCCCCAAGTCCACAGAACACACAGGTCTGTGCCCAGCAAGCTGAGAATGGTTCTCAACAGCCCTGTCCACAACCCACCCCACCCCTCAGCAAGTAGTTGGACTGGAGGCAAAGGGCCAGGCAGGCCTGAGCAATCTTTATTCTGCAGAGGGACAACGACCACAGATCTATACACCATGTCAAGACTGGGGAAGGTAGGGGTCAGTCCTTCGGGGATGAACAGGTCCAGGCAGGGGACAGCGCCTCGGGTGGGTGAGGGGCACATGGGCTGACAGGCAGGGTCCTAAAAAAAAAGACAAACGGCACAGAGAGGCTGCTCCCCATTTTTCCCACCCCAGCCAGCACCCAGAGGAGCAACCCTGGCGTGACTGGCCCGGGATCCACCCAGGGGCAGAGTAAGCATGGTTGGTGCCCCCACCTAGGGAGACTGGCCCCTGCCCAGCCCACCAGGGGCAGAGGCAATTCAGTGAGAAGACGGGCTCCCTAGGCGAACCCCGATGGCCTCCCCGCTCCCAGGTCGGGCCTCCCCCCTACTGCTGGCTCAGAAGCCGAAGGTTTCCTGGGAGGCGTAGACCATGTAGAGGAAACCGTCCTCGTCCTTCTCCTGCTCATAGATGTCGGCGATGGGCGTGGACACGCTCACCATGCTGTGCTGGTTCACCAGCAGGAAGAAGGCCTGCGTGGGGTTCAGCTGCAGGCGGCGCCTGAGGGCGAGCAGGCTGTGAGCGCCGGGCCCTGGGCAAGTGTGGCCCAGCCTCCTGCCCAGAATGGCTCCCAGCCTTCGCTTCACACCCACTCACATTGCCCAAGCCTCTCATCTCTGACTCCTCACTGTTCCTGGCCCCTAGCCCTCCCCAGGACAGATGCTCGACCTAGGTTCTTGGCCCCACCCCTGCCCCTGCGGCGGCCCGCGTACCGGATGATCTTGACCAGCTCGCTCATGTTGACATGGTCTGGGACCAAGAACTTGGTCTTATCCAGGACTGGCAGCTGCTTCTCCCCCTTGTAGCGTTCGATGATCACCTGGGAGGGGAGGGCGTAAGGCTGCGGCAGGGCCGGGGGCGGGGCCGGGCAGGGTAGAGGGGGTGGGGGCGCCGAGGCTCACCGGGATCTTGCT